TGTTTGCCCCGAAAACCCAACTGAACTTGAATGTAGTAAGCTTCCTCCTCCTCCTATCCGTCATTTATTGCACACCCTCCACAGGGTGGTCGGTCAGCGCCGTTCTTTCGTCTGGTCAGACTGTACCGGATGCGGGCCTGCGGACAGGTTGCATACTCCCACGGGGCGCCGTAATACGCCTCGGTGAGCGAAGGTAGGCAAGACTGATCGCCCGTGTGGGAGGGTGGGAGGCACTGTCGCAATCGGCCGTAAACGAGGCTTTCAACTAACTGGTGCCGCGTGTATCAGCAGCTTATCGCTGCATAAAATCCAGCGGCCGCGCTCCTTTTTTTTCTGCAGTCTTTAGCACTGGAGTTGTTGTTCGCACGTCAGGCGGTCAGCAGTAGTCCGCGCATGGCCACAGCTCACGGGAGTCATAGCGCAGACAGGCGCCGTTATGTCGCCTACGGGCGCTAGTCTCCCTTCTAGTGCCGCTCAACTGCTAAAATCCATACTCATGGCCCTAGCAATCATCACTTGCGGGCAGGGCGTCCACGGCAAAGGCATCAACTCAATGATAGTAAGTTAAGAAATAACCTTTTAGAAGGACGATTTCAAATACGGTGTCTATGTTATGTTGTGGCTTTCCTACAAGGGAGCAGATTTCACATTTCTTTTTCAAATAGGGACCTTACATTGCGTACGGGGAACGCTTTTACATGTGTGAACCCGACAACCGGCCGCTTCCCTGGAAGTGGTATTTGCGTGCTACCCACTTCAATCCATATAAACCAAAAGAGTTGCAACGTATAACAGGCAACGTATCGGGCGCAACTGGACTTTTCGATGACGGCAGCTGGGTAAGACATTGCAAATAGGAGTGTGAGATACTCAAACACTTAAAAGCGCGAACGTCAAAGTAGCTCACGCAAAGGTGTATATGGCAGCCTTGTGTCACACGCAGAAGAGTTGGCGATAAAAACACGCATTTGTGTAAAGGAAAGTACCAACCAGGTGGCTGACTGACCACATCCGCAGTTATACTCTACCTCTTGCACGGGTGTGGCCGGGCTGCCTGATTCGCTCACGCCCGTAAGCGCTTCCGTAAAGCGCCGTAGTGAGCAACGATGGACTAGACTACGCACACACTGAAATTCCTTGAGTGAGGTGTCGTCCTCGAATTGAGTGAGACGATTTTGTCTCGCTCAATGAGAGCGATGACTATAAGGCTCACCCTATTTGAGTCATTTGCACTGAATTCTCACTCTGAAGGAGTAAGATTTCCCTGACCTCGGCCAATTTTGGTGGGAAACCTCACTCTTATTGGGTGGGGATCACAAATTCTGACTCAAATATGGTGAGAGTCAGATATCTCGCTTTTAGAAGAGTGAGATTTTTTGTGCCACTCATCTCGCTCTCCTGATAGTAAGACATCTGACTCTAGCATTTTCAGTGCAAGCCTTTTGCAGTACGACTACAAGAGAAGTCGAGGTAAATAAGCAACCTGGACCTGGTAGACTAAACGTTTCTCCACTATAGTCACAAACGTTTTGTGTGCACGTCATTCTCTTTGTGTGTAATACACCTCGTTACGCACTTTTAAGTATTAAGTGTCATACTTGTAGAGCAAAAACCAAATAAAGGCGGCAATTAGAAACAGTAACAGAACAAAAATATCTGTTTTAACAGTTAAAAGTAATTGTAGATGCTCGTTCAAATAACCAATGGAAGGAAAACGCCTATGTCTTCAATTTTAAGAAAAATGGATGTCGGGTTATTAAAGAAAATATTCCCGGATTTTACGAGCAGGTTCTGAAGAAAAGAGAAGTTAAAGGCGTGTGCGCATTTAAACCTGTAAGTATACTTGGATTGCTATTCCCCACTGGCAAAAAACAAAGGTTTGTTTGGCCTTTTGATGGGCATTAAGTTTGAATGCCTTTAAAAACCTTGTGAGAAATGCAATATTGAATCGACAATGACAACGTTTTCTAGTCGATTCGACATCCTTTTGGGGTCTAAATCGACAAAATCTAATTTCGACATCGATTCGATATTGCATTTCTCACTGGCAAAAATGTCCAAAGGTAATATGATTTAGTGCATTTTCAAAAGCATTGAATTCCTTGAGATCCTATCTTTGATCAGCGTCGCCATACTCTTGCGTTTTTATTTTTCTGTTATTTTATGTTTAGGTGGTTAAAATTGTTGCGGCTTAAAACACAAAGAATTATAAATGAGAGGGCTGAGATGACTTTTGTTCACAGGGAGTTTACGAGGTCAACAATGCACCAATCGACTGGAGTTTTCCAAATGTTCCTATCCTACCTTATGGGCAGTATAGGTTCAGACTCATGATTGGCAGAGATGAACACCTAAACGCATGCTGGGCTGCAGATGCTAGGGCTATTCCGAAATCCGACTAGCACTGATTATTTTATCGCTGCTTTTATTTACAATACACAGCAGCTTTTAATGAATTTGTATTTGATTTAATTCAAGTTAGAATTTTTCGTCTACTTTTATTCACATTCCAAGAATTTCGATGACATTTTAAGAATTGAATGGAACTTCGGTAATTGCCTGCGTTGGCGGTACGTGTGGGATGTCACGCCCGTTAGCACATGCGACCGAATTTCGGTAGTTTTTTTAAGCATTGTTTGAAATTTTGTTTAAATATTTCAAAGTGTGGTTGAATTTTGTTTGCCCGAAAACCCAACCGTACTTGAATGTAGTAAGCTTCCTCCTCCTCCTTCTATCCGTCATTTATTGCACACCCTCTACAGGGTGGTCCGTCAGCGCCGTTCTTTCATCTGGTCTGACTGTACCGGATGCAGGCCTGCGGACGGGCATAAATTAGAAACAATTATAAGAAACCAAAAATATCCGTTTTCGATCTCAAAACAAAGAGGCGTAACTGTCAAAAATATCCGTACGTCATGTGATTTGTGAGCGACTGACACATGAAATGAAAACGTTTTTCATCAGTGTTTAGATCTGCAGTTGGCGTTTGCACGTCAGCCGGTCAGCAGCGGGCGGTGCATGTCCGAGGGACTCAAAGAGTATGCAGGCGCTGCGCTGTGATGTCCACCACGGTCGCCAGTCTCCTTTCTAGTGCCGCTCAACTGCTAGAATCCGAGACAGCATGGCGGTCATACTCATGGCCCTAGCAATCATCGCTTGCGGGCAGGGCGTCCACGGCAAAGCCATCAACTCAATGATAGTAAGTTAAGAAATACCCTTTTAGAAGGTCGAATTCAAAAACGGTGTCTATGTTATGTTGTCGCTTTCCTAAAAGGGAGCAGGTTTCACAATTTATTTATTTTCGGATAGGGCCCTTACACTGCGTACGGGGAACGCTTTTACATGTGTGAACCCGACAACCGGCCGCTTCCCTGGAGGTGGCATTTCCGTGCTACCCACTTCAACCCATATAAACCAAAAGAGTTGCAACGCCTAACAGGCAATGTGACGACTACAATAGGAACTTTCGATGACAACTGCTGGGTAAGACATTGCAAATAGAATTGTGTGACATCAAACGCTCGTAAGTGAATGTCAAAGTGTCCACACAGAGGGCTCACTCTTTTGTGTATAAAACACCTCGTCACGCACTTTTCAGTATTTTTTGTCAAACTTGTAGACAAAACTCTAAATAAAGGCGGTATTTTGAGACGATTATGTACCAAAAATCTTCTTTTTAACAGATGAAAGTAATTGTAGATGCTCGTTCAAATAACCAATGGAAGGAAAACGCCTATATCTTCAATTTTAGAAAGAATGCATGTCGCGTTCTGAAAGAAAATGCTCCAGGATTTTACGAACAGGTTTTAAAGAAAAGAGAAGTTAAAGGCGTGTGCGCATTTAACCCTGTAAGTATACTTATACTTCAGTTCTATTTTCCACTGGAAAAACAAAGGTACGAATTTTCCTTATAAAGGGTGTTAGATTTGAATGCCTTTGGAAATTCACTGACAAATAACGTGTTCACCTGGCGTGCACATGCAATTGCGCAATACTGTGTTGCACAATTTAATTGTTTGAGTGGATATTTGAATGCTATTAAGTGTGTAACAGTAAAGTTGAACACTGGAAAGTTTTCAACACCACGGGTTGGCCATGAACATTTGGACACTTAATATGAGTGTTCAAATTTACTTTTAGACACTTTACAGTATTCAAATATCCCGCCGAACGACCCAGTTCTGAGCACTTCAATGTGCAGGCTAGTTGACGGGACACATTATTTATCAGTGAAGGCAAAAACCCAGTGAGAAATGCAATATGGAATCGACGTCGAATCGACGTCGACATTGTTTTTTTGTCGATTCTACATCCTTTTGGGGTCCAATTCGACGTAATCTAATTTCACCATCGATTCGATATTTTATCTCTCAGTTAAAAAATGTCCGAAGATAACATTATTTACTGCACTTGCAAAGACTTTTAAATTTTTAAGGTCCTCTTTGTTTTCCCAGCGTCGTCATACTCTTACATGTTCATTTTTCTGGTATTTTCCGTTTGGGTGGTGAAAATTGTTGCGGCTTAAAACACAAAGAATTATAAATAACAAAGATGTGATGACTTTTATTTACAGGGAGTTTACGAGGCCGACAATGCACCAATCGACTGGAGTTTTCCAAATGTTCCTATCCTACCTTATGGGCAGTATAGGTTCAGAGTCATGGTTGGCAGAGATAAAACCCTAAACGCATGCTGGGCTGCAGATGCTAGGACTATTCCGAAATCCGACTAGCACTTATTATATTATTGCTGCTTTCATTTCACAATATCCAGCAGCTTTTGATGATTTGTACCTGCTTTCAAGTTGGACATTTGACTGAGACTTTTTTCCCCCATTCTTTCCTCGCATTTCAAGAATTTCGATTACATTTTAAGAATTGAATGGAACTTCGGTAATTGCTGGCGTTTGGCGGTACGAGTGGGATGTCACGCCCGTTAGCACGCGAGGCACTACAGAAATGGCTGACAACACCGGAAACCCTTTTTGGCTTTTGTACGTCATCGCCGTACCGATCGACACTCTTTTCTTTCTTTTTGTACCGCTGTTGGCACGCCAGCCGGCCAGCAGAGCGGGACCCGATTGAATGCCAATACGTTTCTGGAAGTATTGTAAGAACTCTAACCGTTTTCTTGCATTTTCACACTTACAAGTGTTGAGCAGTTTAACACTGGACAATGACATAACGCTCCACACAACACGCCGTGTGCGAGGCGAACTACGTCACGTTCACGTTCCACCTCACCCCCTCGTTGCGTCATTTCCATTATATTTGATCCTGTATTTGATTTTATAATGCAATCAAGCAGAGCTCTGAGCAAAACCCACATTATATCTTGTCCTTTCCCTTCGAGTGCTGGCGGAGGGGGCACACACGACCCCCCCTCACCCCCCCCC